AGACCTAGGAAACGAAGACTCAACCAAGTTCAAGCAGCAGCCAGAAAGGAAACCCGAACCCAAGTCAAGAATCAAGTTCCTCGAGCAAGGTCAAGGAGCGAATTTGGCGAGCAAGCTGAATCAACTCATCTATAGCGATCGGAGCGGCTAATCTCTCGGGGTCATCACGAAATCAACTTTAATATTCCACTTTTGGCAGTCCTATCTAAATTCACCCAGGAAAAATTTCAAGACATCTCTAACTAAATTCACGTTTGTATCAAATCCTCCTACTGGAGAAGCCGATTCATATGAATCTGGAGTAAAAGTAAGTGCAATAGCACAGAGAAGTATTCAAAATTTCAAGTCCTTCTGACTTTCCTGCGCAAAGCAGAAGCCGGCGCATTACGTGCCTGGTGGCCCTTCAGGTCTCCTACCCATGGTAGTAGCCGGCTCACTTTGAGCCTGGTAAAAATAAAATCACCTAGGACAGGATCCTTCTGATCAATAAAAAACAGCCTCTCACTTGAAAAACCTCATATATTATTCCATTTTCTCTTTCTTTCCAATCCTCCCATTCTTTGATCTCTCCGTACAATCACCTCCAACCTTTTAGGTCTAGCACATGTTTCTTCACCATTTTTGAGCCATCATCCCATATCCTTTGGTCCCTCGGAAACTTATCACTTTTTGGCTACACTCATTTTTTCTGGTATTTTTTTGACCCGCTCAATCCTTACAAAACGGTTTGAGATATTGACTTCGGGTTTGCGTGAAAAGTTTTCTTTTTTTATGCTCTTTCAAACGAGCTATCACAAAGGGGGTCTTCCCATTTGAAAATTAAAAGTTGGGGGCCGTTGCCCCCCTAAAGGGGGCCCCCTTGAAAATTTTAGTGGGGCCAAAAAGTAGCTCCCTTTGACCTAGGAAGATCCCCCAAGTTTCAAATCTTTACCTCAATTAGGTAAAAAGTTAGAGGGGGTGGAAGGGACTTTTGGATCACCCTGTATATTGAAAGTGATGAAAAGACCAGTGTTGTCATGTATCCTGTGACGTCATGAGTGTACCGGATCTGTTCCCGCGTAAAAGTGTCCGTTTAGGGAATCCGAATTCCGGGACGTTTTCAAGTTGATTTTTTGGGGGTTACCAGGGGCTAGTCAGAAAACGCCGCGACAATTCCTTTGGCATCAGGAACCTTAGTTCCTCGATACAAGCATTAAAATATTGTGCAACATGCCCATTTGCTCTTATTTTTTGCCAATTTACAGTTTATCCGTAGAATGTAAAATGTTTCCCTATAATGGACCACTAGACAAGGTACGAATTTAAGCGATCTGATACATGTTCCTTTACCAGAATTTCACGTAGAAAACGATCCACACAACGAAAATTACGGAAACCAACTCCTAACGAAGATATTAACGTTTTTATTTCACATTGGTTACGAGTAATTTGAACTGCCCGCTCACAAGAAACTCAAAACTCTACGCGAGTCAAATCGCCCACTACAACGGTTTCAGCAGGCTTCTCAATCGAGCAATGGTCATTTCCCACCATGTGTTGTTGAAACTATTAGCAATTTGCTATAACTAAGCCAAAGCGTCAAGATTGAAGTTGCCGGATTTTTATATCGCAGAGACTGTCATGATAACGTTTAGCGCGCGATGTGAATCACGTAGAGCATTGAGTTTTCATGAGCGGGTGGTTTGAATTCACGCATTAAGAATCATTAAATATCTTCGTAAGGAGTTAATTTCGGTAATTTTCGTTGTGTGCATCGTTTTTTACGTAAAATTTTGGTTAAGAAACATGTATCAGAATGCTGAAATTCGTACCTTATCTAGTGGTCCATTGGATTACATTTTGCAATAAGGAACCACTATTTTAGGCTCTTCTGTAGAGGCACCTTTCCTCATAGGGAAACCGACGGCATATTAGTTGTTTCTAAAATGAGCCAGGTCTAGTGGTTCTTTATTGCAAAATGTGATCCAATTAATCCCTAAAAATAAGCATACTGTACAATCATTACTACGGTTCATTCCAATTCTGTCCGACTCAAACTGGCACCACTGCCTTGAGCACCGCATCCGTCCAAAGAGACGTTCATAAAATACGTAACGATATTGCGGACGTATATCGCGTATTTACGGATTCCTTGGAGTTGAGCTCCTTATTGGAGCAGCAGCAATTAGTTAAAGTACAACCTCAATTAGTTCGGTGTAAAGTACGAACAAGGTGGTGTTTTACAACGAATCTTTTTTCCAGTTAAATCTGTGAAAAAATAAGAAACTTATTTTCAGAGGCTGCGTATGCAACTTGCATTGAAATACCATGCACTGGAAAAAAAAAAGAATCTTAAATTTGCCGCCAAGAAGTATTTCTTCTTAAATCAAGAATTTTGCTGGTTAATATAAGCTACTTTTTTGCTTAACCCAAGCATTATTTTTCTTGAATCAAGACAAACTCAGCTTAAAGCAAGATAAAAAAAATTCTTGGCGGCAAATTCAAGAATTATCATGCTTGATCCAAGCTACTTTTTTTTCCAGTGCAAAAAGCACTAACCATAATTTTCTGTATTTAATTTCGAAAAGTCTCTCTCATCGTCCTGCATCTCCCGACATTTAATAAGATATTTAACACGAAATACCAATATTATATTTTATGAAAAATTGCAACCTTGCGCGTAGACGGCCGCGGCTCCAAGACATTGATTACGCGCACCCTTCCACGCACCCTTTGCCGAATGCAAGAGCAGACGCGATCGGTCAATCTTGAAATCCTTGACTCACAATTCTCAACCGCTAAGCTCGTGACCGCTCATCCGCGAGAAATCGAAGAGCACTTAAAGTGCTTTTAGTTTGTTAATTTGGAGTGCTCTCGAAGCGAGGTGCGGACTGAATTTTCAGGATTATTTAATCAGGAAGGTATCTGAATGGAGGACACTGTAGAGTTTCCAGCATGAATGGCATCTCTGCCACTAACTCTTTCGAGTACCAGCTGGATGAAGTGTAAAAATCAAAGCTCGAATTACGAACAGGGTTGTAATTCGAGATCAGCGACTGTTTCTCTTGCAAGCAGATATTTCAAGTGCAAGTTAACTTTTCAGTTGTTCGGGGTTTTCCCTCCTCTCCCCCCTTTCAACTAGATTTGTGATCGGTCCTTGCGCTTAAAACTTACGGCATATAATGCTGTCATTTTAATCTTCAATCTTCATTACTCGTCGTGGCATTCTAGTTAGATGAGCGGGGATCGCCCGATTCCGCCCCAGCCTATTTTCTGAATAATGTAAGTGGCAACGTCGCAGTAATTAGAGCGGCAGAAATGGAAATATCGTTATTTTGGCACCACCCGATTTCGCCAGAGCGCTGTAGTTCGGCAGAAATATCAGACATTCTTGGAGAAGTGGATAAGTTATCCTAGTTTTAATAATCGTCGATCGGATGATGAAATTTGAAGATGACGTCGCACTCTTTCCGTTCAAATTTCCATCAAAAAATTGTATTCGCCCGGCAGCATCACACGAACCAACTTTTCATTCGATAAAAAAATGAGGAGAGTTGAATGAAAAATTGAACCGTGTGAATCAGGCTTAAGGTTTAATTGAAAATGCGCCCCAAAATCTGAAACTGAATATCTAGAGTCTGAGCATAGTCTCTTAAGGATTCTTCATACAGCATGAAAAGAACAGCGTGATGGGTCGTCGCGTCGCCAAACAAATCGCGGTAGATGGAAGCCCAACACCAACAAGGTCAATTTATCCAACACGTTGCGGCGCGCGGATGGCAGAATCAAATCCTAAAGGATCCTGTTGCGGGCGACCGATTTCCTTGTTTGTTTTAGGCCGTGGTTTCCATTGAGGGTAATTGCAATCCACCAAACTGGGACGCATCCGGCGATTTCGTTTCCGGAATGTTCCCGATTTCAAATCGATTTCAATCTAATGGCCGCTCGATTGATGATCACAGGCATCGAGCCTCTCCGTTTGCGGTCAGCTCTACGTAATATGTCGGTTCTCGCAGTCACGACTTTAATTCAATCCCGATAATTTCTCCGATAATCCGTTCCTCAGGTTATTGAAACTTCTTGTTTGCCGATACAGTACTTAATCCTCTTCCAATTTTGACGGATATTTTGTAGACTTCACGGGAGAACTGTTTGTATAACATTATTTTCGAACACTTGATGATAGCACCCTTTGTATTATTATTACATTTATTGAATGTATCAGCAAATAAAATGAGTAACACAATTTAAGGTCAATTACTGTAAAATCCGCTTTCGATAAGATCTTCTATTGAAGTAGGTATCTGCGTGAACTTCAGAAATCTTTACAGCCGCTCTCTCTCTCTCTCTCTCTCCCTCTCTCTTCGAGATCTCATCGGTGGCAATTGAATCGTGTCGTGCGAAAACGGCTCATGTCCATTTTTCCAGCTTTCAATTTTTTTTTGTTGATATTACTCTTTAAGAGCTGATACAATCATGAAAGTGGTGCCAATACTTGTTTTGGAATTTGAATAACCCTAAATCAAGTACTAATACCACTTTCGTGGAAGCATTTAACTCTGAAAAGAACCATCAACCCAAAAAAACTCAAGACTGGAAATATAGACATAGTGGTTTTCGCGCGACACGATTCAATTGGAAAAAAATTGCCAGCTTTTGTCAATATCTCCCCGCCAAGGAGGAAAAGCACACTCTCAGTAATCCAAGGAGTGTTATTTTAGGAATAAGGAGGTAGAATTTTCAGAATTTCTGGAAAAAGCACAATACTAGCGTTTTGAGGCATTGAAAAATTCATCTTGAAGGTCCAGAAGCTCGTCCAGGCGTGTTTTGGCGGATAGGTGTCGGCCATATTGTATATTGTGTTATCCCCGTGCACAAGGGTTGGATAGAACGACACCTGCAACGAAAATTTCACCTGTGCCGTAGTATCGTTTTTGAAGCGGGAAGCTCAAAAGCACGCACATTTCTTACGCAGATTGTGAAGTTAGGAGTGCATTTCAAACTTTTCCAATGCGCTCATCGTGATTTTTGAGACATTTATTCATAGAAGCAGCTCTTAATCTTACTCTAGCAAAAGTTTGCAACAGGCCCATTGAAAGTTCTATTATTGAGTGTCACACTGTCGCTATCAAGACAATGACCAGAAAAATAGGAACATTTACTCGAGGATATAAAATAACTTTCCTTGTAAAATCTGCGTATTGTTCTTTCGCTGGGACACTTTTTCTTTTCGAGCAGAAGGTGTGTGACGGAAGTTTTGCAGTTGCACTGCTTCCGAGGGCACTAGGGCCAGTCGGTGGCCTTGTATCACCCGCTGTTGCTCCATGATTTGTTCATGCTGTAGGAGCATCTGTTGTTGCTGCTGTTCAAGAATAATGTACTGTTGCTGCCTTTCTTGAAGCTGTTCCTGTTGCATAAGGCGTAGTTCTTCCTCTACGTTTCCTTCTGGATGAAAAGCCATTTCTACAACATATTCCATAAGTTATACCTGATATTAAAGAAAAAAAATGAAGTTAAACATTTTCTCCTCAACCATATTTTTGTAAAATTGCATGTTTTTTAATGAAAATGCCAGCATGTCCTCTCCTTTTTGCAGATTTTACAACGTTAATCAATTTAAGAATTATCTTTCTCCCAATGTTTTTGCCAAGTCAAAAAGGTTTCTGACAAGCTAAATTTCAAGCTGGACTAAATACTTTGCAAAATAAATGAAACTGTTTCCAGCTACTTTCATCAAAATTGAGCGCGATCGCAATAATGTCTACCTGAAGTAAGCGTGCTTATGACTTTTCTAAGAAGCGATGCCTTTTCAATGCTTCTCTCTCAGACCATTAAAAAATGAGGAAAAATAAGTTGGGTTTCGTATTTTTAAAGTCGCAGGATTCCTCAAAACTCTTCTAGTATTAGATAAAAATCAGTTCGGAAGTTGATAAATTCAATATTATTTTTGATGGATTGTAAGATTTGAAATTTTTCTGTCGTTCTTGATGTCGCAGGCAATTATAGCTATCGCCGGAAATTTGCAATTGGATCGCGAATTGCCAAGTTGATTCGCGAGCAGCAAGGAATGAACCAAAAATCAAGTGAAAATGTTAGTAATCATATCTGAAGGACATAATCCAGTTGTGCGGTTCGCGCGATATTTTTTGTGACTTTCGAACGACTCAACGCTAGGACGATGTATTTTACGCGATTTTGAAGCTTCCTGGGTCCTGCGAAAACGGTAATCCCGTTGTGCGGTTCGCACGATATTTTTTGCGACTTTCGAACGACTCGTGCTAAGACGCAGTTTTTTACGTGATATTAATGATTCACCGGGGTGCGAAAACGGCAATGCGGTTGTGCGCTTCGCGCAATATTTCTTGTGACTTTCTAACGAATTAACGTTAGGACACTGTGTCTTACGCGATTTTGAAGCCTGGGTTGTGCGAAAGCGGCAATCTCGTCGTGCGCTTTTCGCGATATTTTTTGTGACTTTCGAACGACTCAATGCTAGGACGCTGTATTTTACGCGATTTTGAAGCTACCTGGGTTGTGCGAAAACGGTAATCCCGTTGTGCGGTTCGCACGATATTTTTCGTGACTTTCGAACGACTCAGTGCTAGGACGCAGTTTTTTACGTGATTTTAATGATTCACCGGGGTGCGAAAACGGCAATGCGGTTGTGCGCTTCGCGCAATATTTCTTGTGACTTTCTAACGACTTAACGTTAGGACGCTGTGTTTTACGCGATTTTGAAGCCTGGGTTGTGCGTCAACGGCAATCTCGTCGTGCGCTTTTCGCAATATTTTTCGTGTCTTTCGAACGACTCAACGCTAGGACGCTGTGTTTTACGCTATTTTAAAGCTCCCTGGTTACTTGATGTGGCTGCAGCGGAGACGTGGAAAGAGGGGAGGGGGGAGGGGTTGGTCACACAATCTTCATTTAAGGTGAATCCAGGGTTCGATTAGGGATAATTCAAGATTAGAGATAGCGCCACCAGTCACCACTGAGAATTTCACTTTCCTTCGACGATTACTGAAATAATATATTCCTCGAAATACAAAAAGCAGATCCACAGGATATAGATTATTTTTTGGTTGATTTTTTGAGCCAAAAATATTGGCAATTAGAATTACAAGCGCAGAGAGAGTACGGCCGAAACTTTCAGCTCAGCGACGGCGGCCAAGCGCGCAACCGAATCCCTCATGTTCTGTCTTTCTCTCTCCCATTGCCGCAATGGGAATTACTCTCTGCCGTAGTTACGACTTAATTTTTGGGAATTTTGAGAAGATTTTTTTTACCGAGTGTTCCTCAAGTATGTTGCCATATCCCCTGGATCTCCAATCTTGAATAAGTATTACAGTTTTTCTTATTTTGGCAAATATATGCGGCTATTCTGAGCAGCGCGACGTGGTGGCCAAATCGCGAAGTTCCAGGCCTGGATTCACCTTAACTTGGCAAAACTATATTCTCTTAGTGTTCGTTAAAAATTGAAAATGAATAAATAAACAATTCAATTAAATAGTGTGTGTAGATGAGAATTACGAAAAGTCAAAAAAGTTACGTTCCTCTACACGTAGATGAGGCACATGTATGCATGAAGCAGTGACAGGTAGGTGAATTTTAAAGCAACCTTGCAACATGGCCCCACCCGATGGTAGCTCATCTGAAATATTCAATTACATTGGAAAGTAAAATGCAATAAATCGGTTGCAAACTAGGAAGATGGTAATGGAATCGGTTACTAGTGAGCTCCTGCGTGACCGCAAATCAAGCGCCTCCGCTCGTCGCACCGAACACGCAGGCGCCGGCGCCCATTCAAGACAAGCCTCCAGCCTCACCCATTGCAATAATCTCTTTCACAAATAATGCGTGATTATGATGTTGATTTGAGTAGGAGCGTATTTGAGAATCGATTAAGAGGGTTTGTTTCCCCTCTACCACCTAATACACGCCCCCTCAAAGGTAATTTTATCACGGCTGTTTGACCCCCAGACAAAAAAACGTAACGAAATCTTTTTCTTGGTGTAAACATTTTTCTCCTTGATTTAGGAAGAATCTTCTAGGCAGGAAATTCTAGGTCAGGAATTTTCTAGGCAGCTTAATTAATATTCGGACCTAAATCACGTCTTTTTTCCCAATACTTTGGATGAAGTCTTAAATTTAGCGCCAAGAAATGCTTTTTCTTGAAACAAGGATGATGCTGCTCAAGTTGTGCAACTTTTCTGCTTACCCTATGATTTTTCTTCTGTTGGACAAATTCAGTTTGAATCAAAATGAAAAAAAAATCCCCCCCCCCCCAAAAAAAAAAAAAAACTCTTGACGACATATTCAGGAATCATTATGTTCGGGCCGAACACTTTTTTAAGCGCTCAGCCGATAGGCAGCGCTTTTTGATTTCGACCTGCCTCTAGAGTACTAGTATACTAGTGCTAATTCGTTTAAATGGCGCACCAGCTCATCGATGTGTAGGCTTTTTTTTTGGGGGGGGGGTCCATTTTTAAAATAAATAAAGCTGTGAAAACTGTATTTTACGCTTTTAACGTAATGCGCAGGTAGTTTCGATCGTTTGTCTATAAAAAAATTTCTTAGCGGTAGAGTAATTCTTATCGAAATTGATCGTTGAACTTAAATGAAGCCTAAAAAAAACGCGCCTGATGAGCTCAACGGTGAGCTCATTTTCGGGAAATGAAAATACGCGTTTACGGTTTCCTTGGTAACCTTTGTTTGCTATCAGCTGATGTTTTATTTCCATTTCCCAGCCAAGTCGACGGAGTTTATACTTCCTTTCCTCACTAAATACATTTACTAACACCTGAGCGCTTTTCTAATACGACAGTATTAGAACTTTCCCGCTTGTTTTTTCTTCTGTTGGACAAATTGAGTTTGAATCAAAATGAAAAAAAAAATCCCCCCAAAAAAACTCTTAACATATTCAGGAATCATTATGCTCGGGCCGAACACTTTTTTTTCGTGCTGTGTTTGTTTTTTGAAGCGATTTGGCAACGGATCGAGGAAATAAAAGAGCCCGGAAAAAATCAAACGAGGTAGACGAACGACTCGGAGAAAGAACGAGTGTGAAAGTCGAACTAATAAAGCTGCACTATTTAAAATGGACAGGAAAATAAGCGACCATTATCCAGGTTTTGAGTAATTTAATTTAGCGGCATTATACCGTGCCGCGCGGCTTCGGGCCGGGGGAGATTCAATCATCAGTCACTCGAACTTCTCCTTCTCTCCCGAGCCACCCTCCTGTGTGTAGCACAGTTACACTTATTATTTAGTAAGTTAACAACGACCCCACCCCTCCCGTTCGGTTTTTTGCTTCCTCCGACTTTCCATTCACAATAATTATTTATTGACGAATGTTGTTATGATTACTTTTCATCATTATCACGCCTTGCTTTATTAAACTCTTCGCATTGTGATTCCGCGCCAGCCGGCCCCGTTCTGATGAGGAATCAATTAAAATCGTTTTGCCTTTTTGAAAAATGGTTTCCTGAAACGGAACGGCGAGGCAGCCCACAATAGGGAGGTAGTCATTTATTTAATCCGCGCTCAGTCTTTGATTATAGTCCTTCCTTGATGTTTCTCCGTCTTCAATAGCTTTCTTCGTGTCTCGAGGCTTTCGTTTTCTTCCTGGATAATTTTTACTCTTTCGGTAAACCTTTCCGCATTAAGTTGAATGGCAGCTCAAAGGCGGATTCCAAGTGCCCTACTTGTCACCCAAACCTTAAGAGTTCAGAATGTTTTCGTTAAACATACTCTCCCTTCCCTCCTTTCATAAAAGTACTAACCCGTTGACTACTAAGTTTCAGGAATCGCAGGAAAAATTATTTGTTATGATGTTTAAAATCAGCTAATTTTTTTGGATTTTTGGAGCCAATACAAAGCAATGCTTGATCATTTACAAAAAAGTTAGCAGATGTCCATTTGAATTGACATAAGGTTTGTGGGAGGTCTACTACAGGTCATTTTAACAAATTAAGTTATTTATTCATTTTTCTTTTATTATTTCCTGAATTTTGAGTGTGTATTAGTGAATTTTGTAATAACTGTTATGGCAATGCTAAAGAAATATTAAAATTTGGGGCTTTACTTGACTTATTTTCAGGAACTTGTCGCATAAACTTGCTTAAAAAAAAAAAAAAAAAAAAAAAAAAAAAAAAAAAAAAAAAAAAAAAAAAAAAACAAGAGATATAGGGTACCCGAGATGCTATGAAAATTAATTAGAATTTTTTTTTCTATTATTTATTCTTATATATATATATTTTGTTTTGTCTTTTTTTTACTTATAGAAAAAGGAGTTCAATAGACTAGAAGGATGATCGTTTTTATCTAGAAGATTCCTGAATTTCTGCGGGAGAAATGTCTCGCAGAAAGTCAGAAATCTGATCATTAACTGATACAGGAAAAATCTAATCACTAGAATTTCATTTCGTTTTCATAGCACGTAGGGCGAGAAATCAGAAAATTACAAGTTTGAGTTGATTTGTCAACCAATTGATTCACCGGCCGATGTGCCCTACCGGCTCTTCTTCTGTTTCTTCTCCTTTTTGCCGGGGGGAAGTAGGCGGAAGAGAAGTATAGAGATTAGAAGAAGTTGAAGTGGTAACAGAAGGAGAGGCTGGACATTTAGAAATGGGAGAAGAATAAGAGCAAGAAGGAACTGACAAAATGGGAGTTGGATTATAGTTTGGAATATGGGGTGGGGTGTCAACGCGATACTCTGGGGTTTTGGGAATGGGCCTGGGAGGGGTTCTCGCTTGGGAGGTGCTTGGTACATCAATTTCAGAGGGAAGTTTCTTTGGAATTTTAAAGTGGACAAGGGATTCTTTAGATCTAATTTGGGAAGAGCCAAAAAGGGATTTATAAAAGGCTTGAATATCTCCTTTAACTTTGGCTGGGGGTTCTCTTAGGGGGACTCATGACGTGGGCTAGGGGCCATAACCTCAATTTTTCTTCAAGTGTTTACATCCCAAAAGGAGTGGGACGAGAAACAAATTGTTCAAATTTACCACTTTGCTAATAGGAGAAAAAGTAAGTTAGTAAATATTGATACTTACGGAGTAAATCGTGTCTTAATCACAAATGTATATTTTCCGAACAAATGAATCGTTAAGACTCCTCCAAGATTTCTTTACTTTTCGATCATAGAGAAAAAAAAGGAGGTGTTTGCATGGAAATGCAGGAGACTTTTTGACGAGGGAGGAAAACGCTGTTTAGCGCATGTATCAGGACGAGGCCGGCAACGTGGCATTCCCGTGTAACTCCCAGACAGTGTTTTTGTCCATGTTATCACTTGTCGCACTGATTGTGAGATTGTCTCACAATCAGCCGAGGATGCATCGACCCACAGTGGATCGAGTCAATTGAAGAGGTCGGACAAAATTCGGAAATTTTAATCGCTTATAACACCGTTTGTATAAAAATTTGAGGTTCTAAAAGTAGTTCCATTGGTTTTCTCGTGAAATTTCCTTCCAATAACCACCCCTTGAAATTTAAAATGTGACGAAATAAACATCAAAATTTGCAGTTTTAGTCACACATTTCATGTCCGACCTCTCTAATTGACTCGATCCACTGTGCGACCTGAGCGATCTAATCGGAGCAAATGAAGAATGTGTTGATAAGAGCGGGCAGACCCGCGCCGGTGACACAGTTGCACACAACTTTGGGTCAGTATTGCTTGTGTAATGGACGTGACTGCCACCTCAGTGTTCGAAACTTTCATAGGAAAAAAATGTGTCGTGTTAAATTCTTTTAAGTTTACGAAATCGAACATTTTCAAAAGCAAAAATACGCGCTTTCGATGCTGTAATAAGAAATGCAGCGCGAGTGTTTTAGTTCTCAATATTTTTAAACGGGCTATTGAAGTGAATTTCGGGGCTTTGGGCTAGCCGCCCCCTCCTGTGTCCGCGCACAACAAACAGTGCTGAGTCCTTATGCTAACTTCAATATTGTGAGCTCCACTCTTCGTATCCTTGCGTTCATACATTATTTCGGGTTTTATCAGAGATTCAAGCTGATACTCGAGCAAAAATTGTGTCAGAATACCGAAGTATGGTAAACCTGGTGAAACCATGCAGAAGCATTGCATAGCGAAAATTATCGAAAGCACCTCTTAACTATTACATTAACTTTTTTTTGTATACATTCAAACTTCCCGCTCATGGAAAAAACACCCTAACGTGCACACTAAACCTTTGAACGCCAGTCTCTGTGGTATGACAATACGACAAACTCAATCTGATTGCTTTGACTAAGCTGTTGCACGTTGTCTCGTTGTTAAGGTAGTTTTTAAAAACACAGGGCAGGGAAAACAAAGAACACTGCTCTATTAATATGATCCTCTTAAAAACATCGACAAGAAAAAATACTCCTGTTTCGATCAGATTTAAGCTTAAATAAAGAACCAAGCCTCTTAATTTAAGCGTATTTCCTTTTGATTTATGCTTAAATCTGATTGAATCAAGTGTATTTTGTCTTGTCAATGTTTTCTAGAGTTGGACTCAAGATCCAATGTGTGTGTGTTTTTTTTTCCAGTGAAGGACATTAAATCTCTGTCTATAGTTGGTCGTAGACAATTGAGAAAAGATAAAAAAAAAAGGTAAGAAAAGGTAAAGTGGGGGGGGGGGGTTGAAAAAAAATAGTGTTTCAATTAGTATTCATTAGTGTTTTCAATGTTTACCCTTGTTTATCCATGTTTTAATTCTCTCCTTATCTACCCAAAATAGTCATAGAGCGCAATTTGATCCATTAAGACTCAGCTTTTTCTTGTGAGTGGAAAAGCCTCATTTTTCGTTATCAGTACTGAACTTTAAAACGTCAGTATCTTTGTTAGGAGTTGATTTCAGTAATTTTCCTTGCACGGATTGTGTTATACGTGGAAAAAGGAGGAAATGCACATCAAAACGCTTATATTCGCATCATGTTCAGAACCGTCTATTTTTAGCACTAATACAGCTTTTGCAATTATCAAATACTCGGTGATACTGATGTCGTCCATCTACGGTCCAGTAGAACCAATAATATCGCCTTTTCAGTTAGCAACCTCATCAAACTGCCATGTCGTTTTGTGTTTGGTTAGCCTAGTTTTAAATCCCGTTTATTCTCTAAATCCCCTTTTTTTCAGTTGAAAGCTGCGTTTTTCATTCGCTCTCCTCGTCATTAGCCTTTTTGCAGCTTCGAGGGCCGAGTGCGACTGACTGCCAGCAGCTTTCATTCTGCGGCCAATTTTGATCCCCCTCTTTTTGCCTCCGGTGCTCGCTTTAACTCGATTACCCGCGCTCTCGTCCCCTCTGCGACTTCGCGGATTGGATCAGCTCCAAGTACCATTTGATCCAATACGGACACGGAAAATGCTCACTGGACTAGAACACTGGCGGAGTGGGAAGAAATACATTTATTTTACATTTAAAGCCCCCTCTACCTCCCTCCCTCCCTCCTCTCAAAAGGACCTTCCGTTCCGTGAGTAAATCAATTTGCGTTCGTAAAGCTCTGCGCTACAGGGGTAACACGGACCTTTGTTGTAAATCGTTACATTGGAACAGTTTGCGTCCATTCTGAAGCTACGTTTCAATTTCAACGCTTTTCCACTGAGAGCTCGGAAAAAGTGTCCTCGCCAGGTATTTACCTACGGGTATTGCCTTCATTTATTTTGTCACGTTGCAGTTCGGATTTTTGGCTACTTTCTCCCTTCGCCTTGTGTCCCTCTCATGCACTCGTTCCGTGGAATTACCTAAAGGGGGTGCTCCGGTCTTGACAACTTTTATTTCCCTTCAAGTCCTATCGACCTGAAACTTATGCTTTTGGTAGATACATGTAAAATCAAGATTTCTCCATGTGTTCGTTAAGCAAGTTGCATACCCTTCCCCTTAAATACACAATTAAGTGAAATTGTAGAGGCATCTTGTGGCAAGCATGTCTCGGTCCGAGAGTGAGCTAGAGCCCTACGATTTGTTTTAAAGTATCAAGAAATATTCCAATTATTATCCAACAGAGCCGAACTAATAATTGAAACTAACTAACAATTGAAAGCATCATTAAAACTCGATCCGTGTGATTCTTCAAGGGATTATCGAATTTTATTTTAGTGTTGTGTGCAAAGATCAATGTATCACGAGGGAGTTAAGTCCCGGGAACGGGCAAGTTCCGAGGTTATGTTTCTGGTGCGGTCCTTCAAAGTGAGAGTGAACATCGTGTATATCTGCATGTGTGTGCATTTTTTTGTATCAAATTTGCCTGGGAGAGGTTATTTTAGCTGAGGATTTCCGGGAAAAATTCCAGGAACGGTAAATTTCTTCCATAAATTCCCACTGTTCAGTTGGAATTTTGGAAGGCAAACAAAAAACTTCAGCTCGTGGACTCAGTTTTTTCATCGCTCATTTAATATAATGACAGTATTTCTAGAAATACTGAGAAAAAAAGTACGGTAAAAATATCGTATAGCGATTGGAGTTATCGCAATTAGCGATTCATATGGCACTCCGCAATCAGCGATTTTCAGTATCATGGGGAGCGATATAGTAGGGAATGATTACTTTACTGAGTCCATACCGATGAACTTACTGTGTCAAACGATGATTTCACTGAGGTAGATTCACTGGTAGATTTCTAAATAACCTGCTGTGTCTAACTAATCTTATCAACACTGGGCAGAGGAAATTTTACTAAACTGCTTACATTCTTGCTGCAACTTTCAGCTATACGTAAAATGGGCGACAAGGTTTAGGGCCCAGTTTCTCGCAATGATGTCGACAAACAGGGCACTTGCATTAAGAAATCATGTAACTAAACGGATAACTTCCTCATGAGGTCGAAGATGCACCAGGTTCTAGAGTGCACCAGACCTTTGGCGGGGGTTGATAAGATTAGCAGGAGAAAGTAGGTGACTTAGAAATTTCCAGACTTTTTCCAGTCAAGATAGATGTGATAAATAAGGAAATCAAGTGCAAGAACGGGAGGCAGCACTGAGCAAGCTGATTCCATTGTCTGGGACTGAATAGGTTAGGTAAGTACTTCACTCATGGAAGTCAGTGCACGAGGATCGAGGTGAATTATCAGATTGACAAAATATAGTACTGTTACAGAACCGTTAAGTGTTGACTGAATAAGTGAACCTTACCTACCTATTAAAGTTTCATGAAGGTCTTCGAACTCCCACGTGTTCAACAACTGTAGAAGTGCCATCGCCCGAGAAGATCTCACATGAACATGAATTTGGACAGAGAAATGTAATCACAATGAAATCGGCACAACTCGCACAACTATTTTTTTTTTTTGGATAAGTTTTTTCGCGTATGGAGCACAACTTAACTTGCAAAATCGCATGCAGATTTGCAGAAAATTACGGTAACCTAGAAATTTCCATGAGAATCAGGAGTGTCATATTATGAAATGAAAAATCGGCACAACTGAAAGATGAATATGTTTTCTTTACTTTTCAAACGTAAGGACTTTTAGGAGTTAACCATCTGCAAACCACCTCTCACTTAAAAAATTGGAAAATATGACAATTTCAGAAGAATTAACGAGCGATGAAGATCAAATATGAACGCTGTTGATGGCAATATGTAGGCATTGCTTTCACAGTTGGTAGTGTTGGCTTTCAATTTGCGCCTTCGGTGGCCATTGGCGCTCGTTCCGAGGACAGCTGTTGGCGCGGCATTCAAATTTCCGGTATGTTCAAGTGTTCAAGTGGATCCGCAACTACCCCCCTCCCCTCTGAACGGTATAGATACTGTATACAGCAGTGGATTTACTATTATGTCGCTAATTTAATCGCACATTGAACAGTAGAAATATTGGACTTGATTGAGTAAAATTACTAATGTGAACAGTAAGTTTATTTCTCAAAATAGTTACTTTATCGAGTACACCGTTAGGTTATCGCACTTGACGGTACATATATCGCTGGAGCATACATCGCACCTGTGCGATACATATCCTGTACTTTTTTTCATGAAACTATAGTTTCATGTTTCTTCAAAACTAGTTTGCTGTAAATTCCGTTCTAATAAATCTCAGGACCATGCTCAACTTTGAAGCAACACCCTACGTATCATTTCAAGAGTCCAAACTTGGCTTTTGCCCTTTTCTTTCTGAAGCGTTTACCGCTTCACAGATGAATGTGATGAAGTATGAAAAAGCGCGGTGTGATGAAACGAATCATTCAGATTGTCGGAATGAAACTAGGAGCTATGAGCGCCCATAAAGACAGCGTTGGAAATGGTTGCAATTCCTCAGATTTTTTCGTCTCATGCGCGGTATGAAACACACTTGATTTTTTTTAGAGGTATGGACAACAGCGGAGGAAGTTGGAACGCAAGTTGGGGGCCGGGATTGCTGAGGGAGTACCCAGTGGCGCGCACAACAGTTGCATTGTTGGCCGCTCCAGGGGGTGGCGCCACTTGACTTGGCTACATAATCCGCCCATCCACCGATCCGGCCCGTTATTAAAAATTCAAAAGGAATCATTAATTAGTCGAGCTTTGTTTTACTTCTCAATTGCGTCGAGCACCCCGGCCGCAACACTTGACTACTGTTGCGCCACCGTTGCCCCGTCTGGCCGGGAATTCACAAATAACAAAGCCCGTTCCTAATAGTGTCTCAGGCACTTTGATGTACTCCTAGAGCCACGCCTGCGATCATGAGCCAGCTTTGGAAGTTCAAAGCTCAGCTTTTTCTGCTCTAGGTGTTTGAATGTGCTTGCGTTGAAACCAAGCACAATCTCACAAGTTCTCCTCACAGTATTCAAGTGTTCTCTTGTCAATGGTTTCCGAGTGGGTTCATCATTCTTCTAGTGAAAATCCTTTGAGGTGTAGTTAAACGGGTGTAAATTTAAAGTTCAGCCGTATTAAGTAAGGTTCAGCCGTATTAAGTAAGGTTCAGCCGTATTAAGTAAGGTTCAGCCGTTTAAAGTATGGTCAGGTTGCCGGCGGCAACCTGACCATAGGACTCTGTGACCATCTGACTCTAGAACAATTGGTCTCGGGTTCGAATCCCGGTGGTGGCGACAAATTTTTGAGGAGCTGACGAGTGGATCTGCAGGAACAGACTCCACTCGGCCATAATCCCTGAAAATTTGAGAGCCTGGAGCATGGATGTGTACCAACCGGATGCTCATTCAAGGTTACGAACCCCTCAAATGGATTAAAAACCTCAGATAACTTTAAGAAAAAAAAAAGAAGAAAATTAAGTTAGCGCAGAAAAATGGAAACAGAAAGCAGAGAAAAATACATCGAGTGCATAAGGATGAACTAGTAAAGTAGAAAATGATGATATTGAGAGGCACACCGAGGCAAAGAAACATTATTTTCTTCGACCGTTTCGTCAACTTTTGTTCAAGCAAAGAGGGAAAATTTGGTGAAGAGTCATGTGGAATATTTGGTGCGAATTCACTTTGAAATGATTGAATCTCCGTGCGGGCTTTCGATGGAGCACAAACCCAGTATACTTCGATGTTTGAAATCGAAAGATGCGTACCTCGAATGCGTATTAACGTTCTTACTTCATTCTTTTGAAGAAGATCAACTAACAATACTTCTTGTTTTCGTGATTTTTCATCATTCTTTAGGAAATATTCTCATAAATCTCTAAGACGATACTTTGTTAAGTTCTTTCCCAGGAATTCAACACAATTTGAGATTTTGAGCAACTGCAAGGCCTCGAATTTATGCATCATCTTTTTAGTTCCATTCTGGAGCATCGGGTCTTACGCTGCAAAGGTTACACTGACACCAATGCCTTATTTTGGGTAATGCATGATGTTCTCACTTTGAAAAGCCGCGCTTTTTCTCGAGCCGGAACCAAGATATCCATAACTAGGTCTTTTAGTAGGATTTATATAAAACTCCCTCAGTTAAAACTCCCATGAGGTTTTAAGATTATCAAATTCTGAAGGCAACTTTTTTTTCTTTAAGAGCAAGGAAAGTAGATCCAAAGTATGCTGATTACGAAAGACGAACTTTTGCTACGGTTAGCTTAATTGAAGGATATTATTATCATCTTATCTGCTTTTTTTCTGTCCTTTGATTGTAACTTTAAGCTTTCTCATCTCGACCTCCGGCTTTTTGCACTTCGTATGTTACCTTGTTGATGTTGATCAACGTGCTTGTGATACGAGTGTGCTTAATAGCTAAATGTCTTTTTTATTTGTTTACACATGTGGTGATACCAAATCCTGAAGAGCCTTTTTGATGGTCATTTTGTCTCCCTATTTAAATTATCCGTTCCAGTTGTGCGACTATTTAAGTGGTTGTCTTTTTTTATCTTAATATGCTAATCTCCACTTTTGTCACGTCATTCTTATTCCATGCAATTCCTAAAAACTTAAAGTTGCATCACACGGATATAAAAGAATATTAGTGCTTACTAATGCTACTACTACTATAAATAATCTCCAGGAAATCCAGTAAGCAGTAATAGATTTCTTTCAAAGTTCATTATACGTCCAGTAACGTTTATCATCCACGTTATAATAAGCTGTTTTAGAAACCTCATACTTGCTACTAGATTCTCTGAGAATGATTTTACATATGATGATGAATCCAGTAACCATACCATCATTTTCTATTTCCCGCCTTATTGTTGAGGAGATTTCAAAAAGGATTTAAGGAAATAATTCAAGTCTCATTTTGGTCGTATTCGAGTATCTGTGCAAAAGCTTTTGGCCTACTTACAATACGGAATGCATTTCAGTCCTGAAATCGAACGAAGTGAAAGACAGCCCCGGGGAATACTCATGATAATACTCATGATATACTCATGATAATTTCTCTAATTTTTTTCCGTCAACTGTGTGCAAGTCTATAATATTCGTATATTTATCTACCGTGCCCCCTCGCCTCTGGTTTTATTCTTATATATTTTCTTCACGCCAGTAACTGTCGTATGCTCTCGTCCACCCGTCGGGTCTTTGTACGCTTGCGCGTTCTTTCCCGTGACGACATATTACGGTTTCGTCTTTTGCAAGGAGCTCATCAAGCTGGATGAAATTTTTTTGAACCGCTAGACAAATAGTAGAAGTGGCCAGTTCTTTCCTTTAAAATGTATTTGCGGTGGCCTAACACACTTTTGATTCCCTGCACTTTTGCAGTGCTGTCCATGTTTTAAAGAGATACACTGCAAACTTTTTTGTGGTTATCGACAAAACCGCACCGAAAAAAAATTGAAGTTAATTTAACATTCTGGATGTAAAAAAAGTGTGCGAGAACTTACAAAATGCTAAAATACCTGCCACAGCAGTTACTTCAGCAATGCCAAGATGTAAAATTAAGTGCTGTGGCGGGTAATTCAGCATTTATAAGTTCTCGCACACTTTTTTTACATTCAGAATGTTAATTTAACTTCCCTTTTTTTTTCGGTGCGTTAACGAAATATTTGGAAATTTTACAGGCAATTTTTCGAACAAGCACCGTATTATGAGAGACAGCTAGGATGTTAAGAATGAAAGTTTCTACACTTGAATCGTTCATTTGGTTTAAATACACTAATAAATGAGAAGGCGGCTGCGCAAACCTTGATTTATTTACAAATGCAAATAATTCTTAAATCTTCGTACGATTCCTCTTCAACAAGGGATCAATTACGAGAATGTCAGACAATTCATTTATTTTCTTAGGAATGCAACGAGCTATCGACAACTTCAAACTTCAATTGGACCTCATTTTAGAATTATAGGAACTACAATTTCTAGCTCATCGGTAAAAACACTTATGTACATAGGGAAACTAATGGCATTGGTAACATTGTTACCAATTTGAGCCAGAAATTATCGTTTCTCATTGCAAAATGTAGTCCAACTGCATTTTTTTTTAAACAATGTCTTCGTGTACGGGCTGATTTTGCAGCCGTATCCCGATTTTTCTCAGGATGAAAATCCATGCGTACTTACGAACGGACAAAGCATGAGTAGTTTTTCGCTGGAGCGATTTCTATATTCGTCAATCTTGACTTGGGTTTGGCAACTTGAGAGGCGCGTATCGTTTAAAATGGTGCTTGGATAGCATCTCCGCCTTCGATGCCGGAGGTGCCGCCGCCACATGCTGCGCCGTGTTGCGTTTACCGCGTGCTGAAATCGTTGAACCACTGAAAGCTATCCTCACTGCAATTAACATACGAGGAGTTGAGAATACCTTAGCAACCTGTTGCCTAGTCCGTTTTCTTTACCTCTCCCCTTCCCTTCAAAAACTTCTGGAAATTATTCCGCGTTGATTGTGCCCCACAATGAAGACTTATCTTCATCAACCGCTCACTCAGTCGCTATGAATGATGCTTTTGTTCCGTGTTGAACTAAATATTCCCTCTTCTCATGCCGAAAAAGATTCAATCGATCCGATGTCTTTGTCCGTTTCGTTGAAATGCTTTACTGAGAAAAGCTGAAACGCAGGAAAAAACTATACTTTATTGAGTCAAGAAGCGATGAATCGTAAATAAACTGTAAAGATCATTTAGGTGCCATCACAACTGAGGAGCTCTCCGGGAAAAGGGCAGTGGTGTGGCGTGCTTTGCGATTTATTGATTGTTCTGACATTTAAACCTATGGTAAAGAATCGATTATTAAGGTGTTCGCTGCGAACACCCTGATTATCGATACTTTTCCATAGGTTTAAATGGCATAACAATCGATTTATCGCAAAGCACGCCACGCCACTGGAAAAGGGGACATACCGAAAAAACGCGTTGTGAGAAAAACGCATTTGAGGTTTTCATTCTTACTTTCTGGGCACTGATGATAACATACATCGGAACTGGGGCACTCATATTAACGTTCATACACCCTAGAATGAATAACGACCATTGGTGAAACTTACACTTCTTTCCGTGTTGTGGGAGGAATTTTTTAAAATTTTTTGTTGTGTGCCCTTTTTCCGGAAATGGACCGGTGGTCATGGGCTTTGACTTTTAAAGCGGAATTTTCGAGA